AGTTTCTGTTGAGAAGAAACCGGCAAGAAACTCAACAGTTGCTCTTTTTTAAAAGGACAGTTTACAATACAATGTTACAGGTATAATAGTCTTGTTTTATCCTACGTGAGTATCAACAGTATTAACCCCACACATTGGCGTCGTCGAGATATTCAGCAATAGTATAATATGCTTTAGCCATAAGGTTTACTTTTAACTTTTCGTTTAAATTCATCAAGTGGCAGACTTAATATCGACTGTGGAATTTTATTATACATGCGCACAATTTGCTCCATGAACGACCTGTTTACTTTTTGTAGACGATACAATGGCGTAGTTAGTTTGTCCTCATTTCTAGTATTTAGTTTACGTCTGTCACTATTCTTTAGATAATTATTAATATTATGTTTAACATACAAAATATTACAGTAAATATATTGAGACGCAACAGTGAGTATATTAATCTCTTTAAAAAGGTCTCTGAGTGTATTCCAGGCTCCGATGTTATAGATTGCTGAGTGTTGCCATATTAATTTCATTGGCATTGGATCTTGGGCTCCGGAGACGCTTCAGGGAACATCTGAAAATGAATTGTAAATGAATACAGAGCGAGATATTTGAAGTCGGTTAGAAGAAGTGAAGTTGTTTTTCGTTAATAAAAATGCACATGTGTAAATGTACCTAAAGCCAGAAAGAGCAACCATGGACGGAAAACTTGTTATTGTTAACGAAGGTATATCTGATAATATTCAGTTATAATTCTACTCTATAATTGATTAGACACACACATACGCGCTCCCTGTTTATGAAATTATTAAGTACGTACCTATCTGACGTACTAATTACCGAGTTATGCGGTCGCTATTCATAAACCTGTATAGTAAATGAACGTCTGACATTTATCATTGTCTCATTTCATTCGGTTTGATACATCGGAACAGCTGTTCAGAAACTTAATAAAACGTTTAATATTATTTTATAATATATATATATATATATATATATATATATATATATATATATATATATATGTATATATATATATATATATATATATATATATATATATATATATATATATATATATATATATATATATATATATATATATATATATATATATGTATATATATATATATATATATATATATATATATATATATATATATATATATATATATATATATATATATATATATATATATATATATATATATATATATATATATATATATATATATATATATATATATATATATATATATATATATATATATATATATATATATATATATATATATATATATATATATATATATATATATATATATATATATATATATATATATATATATATATCATAGATATTATAAGATATATTTAGATGAGACATATATATCTGATATATACTAGATAATATGGATGTATGATAATAAATATTTTTTGTGAATATATATCAATAAGTTTCCGGTCGTGGAAAGCAGGCTGGTCAGGGGAAGTACCACGACCTCACAGAAGACCGGCGTGTAGTGGAAGTGTTGTGCTTTCGCGTTTCGTCTCGTGAGTGAGGTAGTGGTGCATCCGAAACGCCGGTGATGTTGCAGATGCCTGGGGCGTATGTAATCACTTACCATCAAGTGACCGCCGGCTCGCTTGCCAATTTTTCACATAAAAAACGCCCATTTGGACTTCGTAGCGCTTAAAGAAAGAACAGAACTGTAGTGCTCCTAATGTGTCGTATGTACAAGTCGTTGGCTCGGTTGCCACCAGTAGTCCGGTGACGTCTTCCCCCTGCCTGAGAGCTGTCAACTGAC